AGTGAACACACCATTAAGAAATAATGGTTAAAATAAAGTTACCTAACTAGATTTGTCATTTTCCAGATAAGGGTTGTGACAGTTGAGCTGAATCTCAGCAGTAATCAACATTGCAGAAAGATTTGAACAAACAGCTTCAGGACACAGAATGTTACTTCTGATGTGCTAAAATAAACAGAAGTGAAACAAATTGCTGCGTTACTTACTTTAGAGTAATATAGTTTCTTACATCTCCTCAAAATCTCAATTAATTTGTTCTTATATGACTTATATTTTTCTTCCGCTTTCTTTGATCTGTCCTTTATGAATTCCTTATATAACGCATTCTTCTTTTTACATGCATTCTGTAATCCCTTACTCATCCAAGATTTCCCACTGTAATTCCTTTTGTTTTTATACTGCTTACGAGGACAGTTCCTGTCATATACTTTCTTAAATATATTTAAAAATTGTTCATATGCTTTATCTAAGTCTTCCTCTCTGTAAACTGATTCCCAGTCTTGCCCCATAAACTCCTCTTTTAGCCTCCTTACAGCATGTTCATTCATCACCCTCCTATAGAAAGATTTGTTTTTGGCCTCTCTTTTCTATACTGGCCCTCATAAACCACAAATACTGGTAGATGATCACTAATATCATTTATAAGTAATCCACTTGTCATTTTGCTGTCAATAACATTGGTAAGTATATTATGTATTAGTGTTGCATGCTGGGTTGTTACTCTACCTGGTTTTGTAATTTTTGGGTATAAACTGCATCTATATATTGTGTTAATAAACTTATAATATGTAATATATTAATCAGTGCTGGAAAAACTAAAGCCACTGAAATGTTTATAACAAGTAGAAAGATCATATTACTACACTATTCCCGACACTTACCTAATCTTAATGGTCCTCAAGGACTTCCTGAAGTAAAGCAAATGCAAACTAGACAGCAGTCAGAGCACAAACCTCTGCCAAGGCAGCTCAGTTATCCCATAATGCCATTAAAAAAATTGCAGAAGTCCATCAGGATGATGATCTGGATCGCTACCAAACTCGAATGAATTGTTATGTGGGCCATTCCCTACCTCTGCAAGACATTTCATCACTATGCATTAGTTTTACCGTTTGAGTTATGCTGTGAACAAACCAACAAACAAATGCAGGTAAAAACATAAGCAGGTAATAAGCAGAAGGAATTTGTGTTTTTCTTCTTTCCTTACAGTATCTAGAGTGGTCTCAGTATGTTTTTATATTCAAACCAAATACCTTCCTTTTGTATGGAAGGAAATTAACTGTCCTGATGACTGTGTACACTCACTAGGTTTTTTGTCTTACAAATCAATGTCTGACTCAACCAATATGCTCATTTCCCCTGTGGAAAGTTGTATTTCTCAGCAATTAAACACACCCTTGCTCATTCCAATACACTCAGATTTTGAGGTTAGTCTCAATTGTTCCATTATGATCATGCCTAGTACGTTATGGTGGCTAATGTCATCAGACTTTAGATATTACCTGTTAACTGACATGACATAGTCATTTTGGTGATATAACCTTTGTAAAGTTGAGCTATAAGTGTAATGTGGAAGTTTAATGTTGGCTGAAATTAATCACCGGAAGCTATTTTAAGATCAAGCCTGATTGCAGCAGTAAAACTAAAGTATTAAAGTGAGTTAGGCTGTGTGTTACCGCTTATGAATCTAAGTTGATTTGTAAGAGGAAGAATGTGTTTGCTCTCTTACTTTAAAAGCTACATGGACTTGTTTTAACTTTGCCCCCATGTCTGTTTTCACTCCTTTCAGAGTGATGGAGTTGTACAGCAGGAGGGTGCTGCCCCGTTCTCTGCAGGGGAAGCCCAGCCATTGCCTCAGAGCTGCGCCGCCACCACAGGTGAGAGAGCCGCTAGCCAAAACCAGGACTCGCAGGCAGCTGTGGCCGGATCTGTCGCTCAACAAGATCCTCAGGCTACTGGGAAAGACAGACCAGTGAGCCAGTGCTTTGAAGCTGAGGACAAGCCTGCTTTAAGGCCTGCAACTGAAGAGGGAAACACTACTGATACTGGTGTGGGGAGACCAGTGAGCAATGTGTCAGAGGAATGTAAAAAAAAAAACCTACAAAAATAAATGTATTTAACTGTACCAGTTATGTATTTTAACACAGCAGATTGTACTGAACAAGTTTCCACCACCTTATGAATAATGAAAAAGCAACATAATGTAATCAGGGCAAAAACAGCTTTACTTAAAAGAGTTAACTTTTGGATGTTTGCCTTGTAATGATGATAATGATGCTTTGTCCTGCAGCACTGATACCGCATATCCACCCACATCTCTCCGTCCTCCACTTCCTCCGTGGCTTCTACCATATTATGAGTTGTCCCTCTGTAATGTCTTCTTGCTGTGAGAGAGCTGACCAGTGATGATGTCATAAACACTGCTGAAGAATAAACTAGTGTTCTCTCCTGTATTACAACAAGTTAACCATTATGTTCATCTGGGATAGATTTAGCAACATTTTGCAGCATGATGGGTTGTATATAAAGAATCAGAAACTTTATACTGTCAGGCAGGAATAAAGGAGAATACACTGAAGAAAACATACATTACCTGAGCGTATCACCCATCAGAAACTGGACGTTGAACAGCACAGACACGCTCCTACTTTATGTGTACAAGTGTAGTTTACAATCAAGGTAGAAGCAGGATGTTGGGTGCGGCCGTGGCTCAGGAGGTAGAGTATAAGTACAAGTATAAGACCATGTACCAAGTGCACATACTAATGTGTGTATTCTGATTCATGATAGTTTATCTTCCATATGTTGACAAATAAACCACAGCACAAACAGAATGCCACTGCCCCCATGAATCATAAAACCACATGAATTTCTATGAGTTACTCACTCCACCAGATCTCAACATTTAAAAAACTGACAATACATACTTGTGTGTGTGTGCATTGTAAACTGCCAATCTGAATCATAATGCATTTACTTATAGGCATTATCATTTATAACACATGGTTGCTTGCTTGTTGCTATCATTGCAAATAGCTTCATTATGTTGAATAGGCATTATCATCAGAGCCGGGTAGTATTTGATTCATATACTGTAGTTTTGCACAGTTTCATTAAGCACTGGACTGTTGCTTCATCAGTTCAGTGGTTTAACAAGGCACAAAAGTCACATCTGAATACAAGATCCAGCAGATCAGAACAAATTCTTATTCTTGCAGGAAGAAAAATTCATATCTCTGCTCGGTGTGTGATCCTGATTTTGTTAATGATCACCCAGTCCTTCTGCCCAGCTGTGATCTGTATCCTCAGACAGGAAGAGGCAGACATATACTTTTTGTCCAACTCCTTAATCTCAAACCTCCCATTGTTTAACATTCCTACTGACTGGAACTCTTTACAACTCTTGTCCTCTGAATAAGTGGTAAACACGTCGTGGCCTAACTCCACCTGAGCCGACTCCAGAAGGTCTTTGCCCCCTGATCCCGTTTCTATAAATATTCCTGTCACCACTGTCGGCTGTGCGAACACCACAGTCAGGTAATTCCCTTTTTCTGGGGAGCGTCCCCAGAAGAATCCCTCCCCTGCTTCCCAAGCCATTTTGGGGAAGTGTTTCTTGTAGGGGGACATATCAGTGTAAACTTCAGCTGAAGGATTGGTGTATAGGCCCTCCTCAAAGTCACTGTCCTTCAGCTTGTTGTACATCCCATGGAATGATGAGAAAGTGCCCATGTGTTGGAACAGTGAAGGTTTAATGAGGATTGGCTCTTTCTGAGTCAGTAGCACTCGGAAGTGAGACATCAACCAGTCGCAGGGCATCTCCTGGTAGAAGAGGAAGAGGAAGCGGGCCAGGAGAGGAAGGTGGGCTGATCTGTAGAGTTTCCCGATGTAGCCAAGGGCTGAGAATTCCAGCATCGCCCATGTGGTCTTCTTTGCCTCCTGCTCCTCAACGTGCCTCTTGATGGTGGTTAGGAAGTTTTTTGCAGCGAAGACATCGTCTTCCAGCTGGAGGTAGTACTGTGCAAGATTAGCACTGTAGTGGATCAGGAAGGAGTAATCCACATTCTGCTTGGAGCGGAAGGAAACCCTTTCTGAGGCATCGTTGAAGTTCCTCTTTAGACCTGCAGGAGAACCAGAAAGACTTATCACTATCACAACAAAACACTCGTGAGATGGATGCAAATCAATCTGTACATGCACTGCACCTGTAAGAGGAGGGTACAAATCCTGAGTAACATGAAGGACCACCAGCTGGCCTTGTTCCAGCTGCAAGGCAAATTTAGTTTTGATCTCCGTCACTGTAGTGATTCTCCAGGTGACATCGAAATCTGCCAACAGCACTACCACCACAATGGAGGAGCACTCTTCAGGAGACAAGTGGGAGAAGAGGGACTGCAAGGTGGGGACTAGATAGCTGCCCTTCTGCCTCTTTACCGATGACAATCCAACCGATAAATACCCTGAAACACATCCGGGCAGAAACATGATGCGTGAGGGGAATTATTGAAAACCACCAATCTCTGTCACCATTATAAAATGGATTCCACTTAGTTGTTTGTGAAAGATGCAGTGAAAGGATAAGGCCAGTGATTTTCTATGTTTTGGCTATTTTCCACTAATCCCACCCAGAGACTCGATCAATCAATGAATCAGTATTTATTGTCCCCAAAGAAGGGAAATTTGGTTTGCAACCAGGTGAAAGAAACAGATTGACTGATTAAGATAAAACGGATTACTTTACTACAACCCATTATCTTTTAAATTTTTCGACATCTATCTGCTTCCAGAAAGGCTGAATGACTTTTTAAGTCATTAAGGATAAAAACATGTTATACTGTATACACAGGATTGTCACAGTCACAATAGGTGGTGAAATGCAGAAAGCTGTGGCTAAACCCCAACTGCTGTTCACACGGGTCTGACAGCCTGAGTGGCTTTCTGCTGCCATTTCTGCATATCCAGTTCTACCACTAATGCACTAACCCTTTTCTTATCAATGACAAATAAAAACCTGTATTACTGAGTTGGGCCCACAATATCCAAAAGAAGACCTGCACACAGACTTAATACGTAACAAATTCTGTTCACTTTTTAGTACAAAATCACCAGCTACCATCAGCTAACAACATCTTATGGTCTATTAGATGGAGCTTTGGGGGAGCCTAGCTAGTTCAGTTAACAAGGACAAAGCAATAACTAACTAAATAATAATCAGACAAATATAAGACTCTATTGTGTTACTGGCCTTTTCAGTATTACAAAAAAGAAATAAATACATGCAGGTTCCCTTTTTGCTTTCAGCACTTTCAGCTTAAGAGATAACTTTTGAACAAGTCATCACATCAGTTCAGTTTACACCTTAACAAAAAGGACGGACCAACGTGTTACTCACTCTGTTGGGTAGATGGTGCTCCAGCGAGCAGCTGATAGGACACATTGAGAGGCAGGTAATCTCCCTGTTCGACCCAGGACTCCTTACTAACCAGCCTCTCTGCTTGCCAGGACAATTCATAAGGACTTGGCTCATGTGACCTCTTCAAGCCCGGCAAAACAAATACATTTATTGTTAGAATATGCTGACATAACAACATTGCCCATGATGGCGGTGCGTATGCACGCAGCAGCCTGGGGCCCTCAGCTCCAAACATAATTTCATTGGACGTGTCACAGTGTTACAATGACAATAAATAAATCTTCATAACAGCATAACATATGAGGCTGGTTTTTCCATCAATCTGCAACTGTGGATATTTTGCATGTTATAAAGCTAGACCAGGGTGAGTTCACTTCAAGTGATGCTTTCTTATAAAACTTCCTGTTCAACTTAGTTTGAACCGGATGTGTGCTTTGTTTCCTGTAAGATGCCAAATTACTGCGTGCCACAGGCTAACTGCACATTGCTCATGTGGGTGTATACTCACATCAGTGATGAAATCCAGATGGCTTATGAAGTACAATCCCCAACAGAAAAGCAGCACTGCCAACACAGTGGTCTTCTTCTTTGCATGACATCGCATCTCCCTGTCATATTCCAGCACACACACATGCACATAGTGGATACCCCATCAGTTTCACTAGTTTGTAACTCAGCCAGCAGAGTACATAAGTAATAACGGAGTAAATAATTTAGCTAATACTTAACCAAATGAATGTTTCAGAAGGCTCAGATGCAGCAACAGGTTCTACATCTAGTCTAATGTACTGTATACAGGCACAGTTGGTAGTTTATTAGGTGCACCATGATTTTAAAAAAGTGATGTTTATTATTTGTTGAAATAATTTTAGAGAGGTGTTGATTCAACTGTATGGTCATTTTGTTGTTTAACTGTATTGTATTATAATGACTGGTGGTTCTATTTTATCCACCCCATCAGTTTCTATGAGGCTTGGCTAAATACACTAATGGGGACTAACATAAAAGTGTTATGTTTATAATTTTGTTCAGTGTATAAGAAATAGCTCTGTATAATGCAGTGCAGTACCACAGTCAGCATTACTGTATTCTAATCTGTTTCTGCTGGATATCATCATCCAATTAAATCAGCAGCAGTAAACAGACACTGCAGAAATGGTCCAGCCTCAACTCCTGATTGTGTCATGCTGTTGGTGGCAGTAAACTAAACAGATGCCTTTAGCCTGTTGAACTTATTATTATCATGAGAAAATCCTGGTGTAATTAGCTGAGATTGATTTTGAAAAATACATGTATCTGAGACTTGCAGTAAAATTTGCATATCTATCACTTCCTGAACTTATTGCTACACTTGTTTCTTCTCCTGATTTAATGTGAACACCTGTTTTTGACAGCATAATTTAAACACAGTTAGGTAGTACAAATTAACTTGAAAGGGGAAGTAGTGTTTAAATACTGTAGAAAAGCAACTGGAGCGACACTGTTAGATTGACTTTTAGCAGGCTATGCCCTGTGCTGTGTGGGCAGGTAGGCTACTGACATTTAGGAATTCATTATATTACAGTAATCATGTTGAGAAGAGACCATGATTGTTTGATGTCCCATTAGATTAGCAAGGACACAGCACAGACTTCATAACATTTTCAAAGTACACTGCCTTTATTTGGTCAACAAATTGACCAACCCTTCATTACTGACACTATATTTAGACCAGGCATCCTCATCTGTACTTAGCTTAGAATGTCAGCCACCCTCCAGCAAATCCAAATGAATGTTTATTTTGGATGAGTGGATAATCTTTGTGAAATCACATTGTAGAAACCTGATTGACAGGACATGCGTGTCTGTGTGTGCTGGGACTTACTATGGCTTAGGCAATTTTATAAACAATGATGTATTCGTTATAGTCCTTCCATAACTACGGGTAGCCCCATGATAAGGTTTTAAAGGGCTAATCTGGTTTCAGTAAAAGCAACGTTAATAAAGACACGGCTAGCTGTTAGATCCCAAGACTCAGGGAAAGATTCTGGGGGAAGTCAAGTAACCTAACCTTCACTCTAAACCTAAACTAACATAACCTAGCACTAGTCGTGTCGTATTATACTTAACTTGACCCACACTTCACCACGCCTAGTTATCTCACCTACTTCCCAGCATTTAGATCTAACCTTTGCCCAATAGCTAACGTTAGGCTACTATCCTGGAACATTACATAAAGTTACCAATTGTTAGTTTGACTCCACTGAGAAACACAGCCCGTATATGAATAGTCTATATGATATTAAAATATAACATAGGCCTATCAAATAAATATGAATTATAATACTGTAATTGTAATACTAAACGTTAAAGTTGAAAGCCTACTATTCCTACAGTTAAGTAGGACATAAACAACTATCGACATCGTATCCTACGAAAAAAAGCTAAATGACCTAACTCGCTGTCCATGACATAGGCTAACACAGTACATGCATTAAAACCGCTAGGAGTGAGATCAAATAAAACTTGTTCACTCACCCCCACTTCAAGTGCTCGGCGGATGCCCGAGAGTCCGTGCGTTTCACTTCTAATTTTGTGCTTATAAGGCACAGAAAGTAAAGGGGATCCACGGAGAGGAGAAAGCACTCTGACTCTGTCAGCGCACTACATGACAACAACGCTGTCTCGTTCCAGCGTCGTACTGGCTGGAGAGCAGGCTTCCAGGTGGCCACTGCTGCACCCAGCCTTCCCGCGTGACTGTGCGTTCAACCAACCCGCTGCATTTACGGTGTAACGTATAATATCAGGGCTACCGGCTTGTCAAAACAGATACGAAATGTTTTATTATGTTAATTCTGTTCATGCGTTTGCTGTTATCACGACAGATCAGTAGCAGGCACGTGATGCTTCTTAACCCCCTCGACCACCATGACACAAACAGCAGCCTCTGGCTACTGCCTCTCAGTTCCAGGACTCCTGTCCTAACCCTAGACTGGATATGTATTACTGACGTCTGTAATTCAATTCCTCTTTCTGACAGCCACAATATCATTGTTCCTACGGACAATTTATGTCACTTTTACCATCCATTTTTGATATGGACATCTGCAATAGAAATCTTGCTAAGAAAAACTCTCATTTCAGACATCTACAATCCAGTTGTTACTAGCCTTTTTTTTATTTCACATATCCACAATGAAAAGCCATTACAGAAATCTGCAATACATTTGTGGGTGTCTGCAACTGCACTGTTTCAAGTCATAATTCTACATGTACATATCTGAAATTGCATTGTTATTAGTTACAATACAAACTGTGGATTTCCATATTGATATTTTACTAGACAATTCTTTTTAGATATTCGAAATTACATTGTGGATATCTGGAAAGGTCTTTCTTGTATATCAACAATGTTTTTGAGGATATCTGGCAGTGAAAGTGATGTAATTTGTCCTCACAGTGAATATCTGAAATGTTCTTTTTGAATAAAGGATACTGTACTGTGAATCCAGTCTAGCTATAGAAGTGCAGCCTATGATAACAATGCAGTCCATATGTTTATCATGTTAAATGAGCTAATGTGTTTGCATTTACTTTCAGCTCGCCATTATCATGACAGATCAGAAAAGACATATCAGGTGTTTCTTAACCCCCCGTCCACCACCACAATAAAAACAGCAGCCATACTGCCCTTCAGTTCCAAGGTGCCTGTCCACCTCTACATGAACCACACCCCTCTTTCTCCAGCCTGTGTTTGTAGATAAACAGCATTATCTCTCAGCCCTAAGTGGTGAAATGACTGTCGATTTTGACAAAGTGAGACTACACCTCCATACAAGTGCATCTTAATAAATTAGAATATCGTGGAAAAGTTCATTTATTACTGAAATAAACTGACTTTTCCATGATATTCTAATTTATTGAGATGCACCTGTAGTGCCTCTATTAGGCCAAACATGACCTAATCTGAACATTTTAATCCGCTTATTATGGCCTGACTGTGGAAAAAAACAGCAAACTGAGGAGGTTAACGACCTTCAGCTGAAGTTTACTCCTCTACTGAATGCTTCCTTGTTTGCTCATGCTTTGAAATGTAGAAGCTGAAAGGGGAAGTGTGTGCCTTCCACCTGTGTATATTCTCTTTGTGATTTTCCACAGTCCCGTTTGAGCCTGATAATCCAAAGTGCAAAGTCCAAAGTGACTGCAAAGTCAGTTTTTTGCCAGTTCTGCAGGGGAGTATTTTACAGTCATGAAATGGTCAGTGAGCATCCTTTGAAGGGTGTGTGTATGTGTGTGTGCGTAATGCATATCTAAGCTCTTTCTGAGGACAGTGTGTGCAGTACAGTGGTAAGGATGGTGAGAAATCCCTTCAAAGCTTCATCATCTCTTGGTTGCTGTTTAAGAGTGACTTTTACTCCCTCTTTTTCTCTGTCCTTTCTCGCCATCTCTCTCCCGCTCAGCCCATCAGCTGTGGCCTCCTCACCCTCATTCTCCTGCTCACCCTCCACCATCACTTCTCGGTCACCTATAGCTTTCTGATTTGCCTCTCCAGTGTACAGCAGCTCCCCCAGTATGAGCGTGCTGTGGGGTGTGTCAGCAGAGCGTGTGTGCTGGGTGTGTGTGTACAGGTAGACCCTCCAAGGGAGTGTGTACGGTGGCGTGAAGGCCAGCGTCTGGATATTGACCAGTTGCATCGCAGCCTGAATGCTTTGTGGGGAACAGAGAGGTATCGCAGGGCAATGGACATGCTCCTCCATGCACACATAATCCTCCTCCTCTTTCGTCTTCTCAACACCTAGTCACAACAAAACAAGGAGCAAAGTCATCACGACAAAATTTTACATCATGAACTAGTTCACTACTTGAAGAAACAGAGCCCCACATAAATGAGCATGACTTTGATATTAATGTTATCTTGTTCACTAGATGAGACACATTTAACCCTTATTCCTTAAAATTTATGGGCCTCTGCAGTGTTAAATAAATGTTGGGAAATAATTTAAGAAATTCTTAAAACTAAACTGATTGTTACAAAATATTATTTCATGCTTATTTTCATAATACCAACATATATAAGACTTCATTTTGTGCCATAATGCCCTTGTTGAAAAGTTTTCACATCAGTGTTGTCAACTAGCTAGCAAGCCCAACAACTGCAACTACAATTAACCAATTAGCTCCTGATAAACAGAGCACCAATGTCCAAATAATTCTGAATTAACTATCTAGCTGCTGCTGTGAACATACAGTACACACACATACACATAAACCAACATCTTTCATTTATTTAGTGTAATAAAGTTGCACATGCTACCCACCTAGCTGGCTAACTAGCTACCATGAGGTTGGTTTATTACTTAGCACCAAAGTGAAGAGACAATGTTAATGGCAGCAAACAGCTAGTTAATTCAGAGTTGACCTGAGAGAAAAACACAACTCTGTGAAGATGAAAAATACAGGGTGTCTGTACAAGCAATGTTTTTGGATGAGAAATTAGCAGTACCTTACTGGGACCATTTGAGCCCCTTTGTATTTTACCTTACTTGGTTTGCTGTTATAAAGCAGTTACATGGGTGGACTAAGATTAAAAAAAAAAAAGGTGAGTTGTATGTGACACTACAAAGCAATTTGGAGAATTTTTACTTTTTCAGATATTTAAAATTATGCCAATATTTCTGGAAAAAAATGGGAGAAAAGTGCATAATGAGAGAGGGAAATGAGTAAAATGTTTAAATATCCAGTCAACAGTGAGAATCTATTCATATTCTCCTTCTTGATCACTTATTACTGTGAATTTAACTGGAAAATCTTATTTTATCTTACACATAAACTGACATTAAATCCAACAACATTATGAGCCATACTTGCCAGAGAAACTGTGGGGACGTCATGGCAAACCACTACCAAGAACTTTGGGAAAATATCTGTAGAATCACTGCAACATATTTTTGGTTGCACATCCCACTCACCCTTTCAGTACTTATTCTAGTCATCATGGAAAACTGCTGATTAATACCCCAGTTTTCTTCATAATCAAAGCAGTTTTAATGTGGATAAATGTTTTTATGAAGATGGTTTATTCTTGTTTTATGAGATCAGTCCTAACTTTTTCCCTTGCTAGCTTGAGCTGCTCGCCTCGAAAAACAGGAAGCAGCTGCAGGGCATTATTAAAGCATGCAGCAAGAATGTTGGCACAACACTGGGCGACATATCAAACTTATATAAAGTCAGGTTTCTGAAGAAGGCCAAGTCCATCCTAGATGATCTCAGTCATTCTTTATTTGGCGCATTTACAGGAAGTGGCTTCCATCTAGTTGTGGGTACAAACAGGTTTAAAAATTCTCTTGTCCCAGCTGCCACAGGTTTATTAAATACTGTCAGGTGACTATTGTGCCCTCTTGTCATTCTTTTTTAACAATTTATTTCTTGTCATTAATGGGTTTATTTTTCATTTTTATTTTTATTTTTTTAGATGATGCTGTGGTGATTGTGTATGTGCTACTGTCTGTACAAAGATTTGCCCCTTGGGGATAATAAAGCATCTAATCTAAAAAATTGTTTGGTTTTGTAAAAAAATAAGCACATTCCACACTGGACCTTTCACATTGGTTTACAGGTTGGATAGCTGGTCTGCTCCTGCCAGCCACAACTCCTGGGCTATGAAGAGGAGGAAGCTTTCAGCATGTGTGGTGACTGTGTAAAATATAACCTCTTTGCACTGAATCACCTTGCTCAGCATGTCTCCACAGCCACAGGTGCTCAAACTCCTCTGGGCTGAGAGCTGGGGAGAGGGACAAACTGAGGGGGACCATGATGCTGGAAGCCAGGTCATCAGCAGAGCAGGTGCTGTCTGAGCCTGGAGAGGACATGGGCAGACAAATAGAGGAAGGTGGGGAGGATGGAGGGAGGGAAAAGGGGGGATTGTTGAAAATTAGTTTGCTTTATTTGTTCTCATTTGGCATACTTTTACTTGTTTTTTAACTTATCTACAATGTTGCAACAGTGAATTATCAACTTAGATGTGACCTAAAGCTCAAAAAATGAGGTGTACCAATGTTCTAGTACTTCTATGCAGAAGCAACTTGGTTTATACATGTCTCACAAACTCTTGCTTGCCTGCTTTGTTTAGAGTGTTACAAATCTCTTTTCATCAGTACATATACTGTTGTTTATCTATCAGTGGAGGAGAAATTCAAATTAATGTAGTTGCGGTTTGTCATGCTGTCCATTTCCATATTCTGGCTTGAACATGTCAGGTAGGATTTGCTGTTTTGTCATTGCCAAAAACGTAGCTTATTTGTCAATGTTTTTGTTCGCCCATCGACATGTGATTCTCTGTTGAAAACTCAGTTTCATGTAGCTACACCCTCAGTGGTTGTGGTTAGGATAATGTTAGACTTGAGATTAGGGGAAACACATCTCGATGGGGAAATGAATTTCAACACCAGCACCAGGAGTTGTGTGCGTTCACAAACTATCCTCTAGTTTTTAGGAGGAAGCTTTCGGGTTTTATCATTCTGAAATAATTACAGACTATTTGGAGTTATGATGGGGCAACGCTAATCTAGAGGTATCCAAGATTAAACGTTAAATGGCTGGAAATGAGTATGCCATGGGCTCTTTAAAACAGGCAAGAGAGAGAGAATAAACTTATTAGTCAATTGCCTGGGTGGTTGCCCAGACTGAGCAATGATGATGGGTCAAGGAGTGGGTCACCGGCACAGCCCTTAGTTGGGAAGTTATGTAAAGGGGGATTTTTTTGGTGGATATGTTGGTATGTAGAGAATCTTTAATTACATCTATCACTTTCTTCTTCTTATGTGGCTTGAAAACAGTTGTTCTTTGATGGTTCCCAAAGGAGGAAGTGCCTGTTGTGTTCCTACCTCATCTTACCCAACCCAATCTGACTGACTATAGTACGACTGAGAAGCTGCTGAAATCTAGACGATGTTGGATTGCATAGCAAAATGAAAAGTGCTGCTGAAAAGCTTGAAGGTAGGAATAAGATCACCCTGAAGTCAAAATGTCATCCCTTGGCCCCGCACCTATTATCACTGCTTCAACATTTATAGTGGGCTCTTTAAATAAACAGCCCAGGCCTCCATGACCTACAGTGATACCCATCTGAACACACACACACACACATGTATATATATATTTACACACATACATACATACATATGGCCTGGGTGTGTCCCTACAAGTTTTGCACAACCCGTTGAAGAGGCACTGATGAATATTCACATCAGTACAGAATCAATTCAGTTTGTTTCATGAGAATACCAATCAAGCTCTGGAGATATTTCAAAGAGTGAAGGAATGAAGTAAACAGAATGCACCTGAGCCACTGCAAAGGCTCCCCAATATTTACTGAATGTAAATGAGACAATTCTGTTTCAGATTTCTAAAAGCAGGGTTCTGCTATGTTAAGTATCACTGTGTTTAGAATCAATGCCAAAAAGTAGAATGTAACCATTTAAAAACCATTTATAACACAATAAAGTGTATAAAACGTGAAGTCAGTGAATTGTATATCTGGAAAAATAGCTACTGCTTATCGACACAGTGGATGGTCTTATGTGTTCTTTTACTGGACCGGGCTGATCTGTGTTATTGTTATTTTACTGTGCTGACTGGCGACCTCACCAAAACAAATTCTATTTGTTCTGTTATTGTATTCGGTAGCTGCAGGTCTTTTCATGTTGTTGACCTGCTGTTATTAGGTGAAGTCATTTATTCCAGTAAAGGATGTGCCCCTCGAAAAACAAGTTATAAGAACCAGAAATACCAGTTTACTAAAAATCCAGTGAAAGAGTTCTTTTGTAAACAACTTGTATAGCTCCTGCGGATAAGTTAGCGATATTCCCTTCTATGAGATGGCGAAACCAGACTACAGGGCACCATAAAAGACCTTGAGAAATGTGATCTAAACAACTTTTCATAAATTACAGGGGGGAGTGTATTTTATGGGACCTGGGTATCAGTTTATGATGTTCGCTCAACTAAAAGTTGCTCATCTGGGGCATACACCAAAACATTTTATTCTTTCAGGTTTGCTTCTGCATTGTGGGCCCACTGCACATGCGCATTACTGTCTCCTCCCGGCCCTGAGTGTGTGCTCTCACTGGACGGGCAGAATGGTGGCACTGTATCCAGTTCTCATAATACATCAATTGGGGAAGGTAAAAGCCAAGACTGACGATTTTAAAAAGTACCTGGAGAAAACCCAAACAGGTACAAACTCTGCACAGCGCTGACCACTGCACCACCATCCTGCTCCCACTGCACACATCTATAAGTTAATTAAAAAATAAATATATCCTGCTACATACAGTACAATAGCAGATGCTTCAACTATGTCCATCCACTTTAGAGTTCAGTCTGAGCACAGACAGGATAGAAGCTGATTCATCTTAGGTGTCGACAGCTGCTAGCTAGTGTTAGCTCTCAAACTGAGAGCTCAGATCAGGGTGTGGAGTGATTTTTCAGTCTGCCGCTCTCATTGACGGGATCTTTGGGTCTGCTACAAGTTAGCTACAGTCAGCTAAGGTTATCCATTCTGAATTACCACAGTCAGTAAAGTGAGAGAGAAACAATTTAAGCAACTTTTTAGCCAAACAAAACAAGATTCAGTGTATCCAAGATACAGTGTGTAAAATGGTGCCCCAGTCTCAACATTCAACACGGTATGACACTAAAGGTCTTCTGGGCCTGCGACGGTATAAGATACACTGCCAATACTATCACTCACCTGTCTGAACCTTCTCAGCGTGGCTACAGTTCAGTGTGTCTGAGAGGTCAGTGCTAGGCTTGGGGTCAAAAGTCACATGTTCAGGACTTCCTCTGCTGGCTGACTCTGTTTCTACAGCACTCTGCCTCAGAGGCTCCAGAGTGTTAAAGCTGTGTGCCCAATGGCTGATGGGCTCTGCAGGGCGGCCAATCAGGACACCCAGGGAAGGGTCTGACCTTCGACCCTGGAGGACTTTTCGTGTCTCTTCTATCCCACAATGCAACAGGCGGTAGTAGAGAAGTGCCTGGTCATGTACACACATGTCTGTCTCCTCCTCTGGAAAACACAAGGGTATTAACAGTCACATCTTTTTCTCTTTCCGTCGTAAACACACACACACACACACACACACACACACACACACACACACACACACCTATGCAGTAGTGCAGCAGTCTTCCAAGCATGTCCTGTGTCTCAGCAGGTCGGCACAAAAACAGCCTCATGGTGGCTGTCAGCAGCTCCATCTTGACTCCCAGAGAGGCCTCACTCCTCACTCCATCAATGAACACCTCCAATGTGTATGGAGCGCTGGAGACTCGCTCCCCGTACATGCCCAGCAGCCACAGCAAGGCCTGCCTGCCCTAATAGGGGGCAAGGAGAGTGAGCATTTAAATGAGTCTAGTCTAAGAAAGAGAACCCCCCTCTGTATAAGGCTGTGCAGTTCAACAGCACCACAAACAACATCCTTCTGAACCACCATAGTCTGGTTTATCTCCAAATTTTGTTTATAGATGCAAATTCATCAGAAAGGTCAAGCAGTTGAACCAAAGTGGTGTTTCCATATGCAAATACAAGCATGTAGAGGACAGAGCGTATGATCCTTAGTTCACAAAGAAACTGTTCCTAATTAGCCTGTAGGCTGTTTGTAGACATGAAAATTATTCAGCACATAATTTGATAATGATTTACCAAGAACTGTGGTGGAAAGTACATTTACTTGAATACTGTGCAATTCTGAGGTACTGTTTGAGATACTTCTACTCCACTAAACTTCAGATGCATTTATTTGATAACTTTAACTACCAGTAATTAGCTTATAAACAGTAAACATGTTATGGTGTGCATGCAATTAGTAAGAAATGTTGAAATTACAACAGTGTGAAAGGGGACTGGAGCTGGTCTATGCTGGTCTATGAGCAAAAAAGCAAGCACAGAAATAAAAGAGGGTGAAAGTCAGTAGTGGTGCAAACATTATATTATCCCATTATTAATCCCTAGCTAAAATTATCTACAGTAGAGCAGGAGCTGTGGAGCTGGCAGGAATTCACTATAGCTGTATTCTCAACTCAAAAAGTAATGAATATTTGAATACGAGTATGCTTTCACTCTTTTGTTGTCGTTTCTTTTTGGACTTTTGAAATCAGGTTGTCAGGTTTTTATGTTGCCCGTGGAAAAAAAAAACGAGGATTAATGTGCATCTTAATTTTCCATGTGGGCTGTAGCTTTTCACAAACAGTAGCCTGTCCAGATATTTTGGACTAAACCAGATAACCTCTCACGGTCGCTCTTAGAAGGGGGCTGTGTTGGGTTTGTTTTTTTTATAAGTGGACTCTTGGCATCAGTTTTACCTTTTTGCCGTTTTTTGCTTGTAATCATGAAGCGATGAAAAGGCCCGATATTGTCTTCAATATTAACGCCATCAGTGAAATCAGGCAAGAATTAACATTACATGTCCAGGTATTCCTTGCAGCTGCTACCCACCCAACACTCCCAGTACCCCATAGAGACTGTGTCTGCCCCCCGCCCACCTAAATTATATAAATCAAGAATCAACTCCAGAGGAGTTATTCATAACAACCTAATTAAAATTAAGACGATGACTCTTATAGTGGAAAGTAATAAGACAATCAAATGTGGACTATTAAATATCAGATCTCTCTCATCTAAATCTCTGTTAGTGAATGATTTGATAAGTGAACATCACATTGACTTATTGTGTCTTACTGAAACATGGTTACAGCAGGAAGAATATGTCAGCCTAAATGAATCCACTCCACCTAGGCACAGTAACTGTCACATCCCTCAAAACACAGGCCGAGATGGTGGTGTGGCAGCAATCTTTGACTCAAGCCTATTAACCAACCCTAGACCTAAACATAGTTATAACTCATTTGAAAGTCTCACCCTGAGTCTCTCACACCCAAACTGGAAAACTCAAAAGCCTGTTCTGTTTGTTATTGTATACCGTCCACCTGCTCCTTATTCAGAGTTTTTAAGTGAATTCTCAGACTTTCTGTCTGATTTAGTGCTTAGTACAGATAAAATAATCATAGTAGGCGACTTTAATATTCATGTAGATGCCGACAATGACAGCCTCAACAATGCATTCTGTTCATTATTAGACTCAGTTGGCTTCTCTCAAACTAAATAAACCCACTCACTGTTTTAATCACACTCTTGATCTGGTTCTGACATATGGCATCAAAACTGAACACTTAATAGTTTTTCCCCATAACCCTCTTCTGTCTGACCATTTTCTAATAACTTTTGAATTTAAATTAAT